GCTACCGCTTGAGCCACATCCCCAGCCCCCAGTCCTCACTTTCTGACAGTCTATTTCTTAGATACACATAATTACCCTAGAATTGATGTATAGACTTATATTTCATTGAAGAAAGATAAACACAGATATGTAACAAAGATGAGAAGAGCTAGGAAGAAACAGAAAAGGGTAAAAGGGAGAGATTGAACAGGATAAGTAGGTAATTGGACAGAATGTTCAGAGATGGCTTCTTTAATAAGGTGATATTTGTTGGCAAAGTTGTGAGAAAAAAAGTACATTCATACATTGCTGGTGGGACTGCAAAATGGTGCAACCACTATGGAAAGCAGTATGGAGATTCCTCAGAAAATTTGGAATGGACCGTTTGATCCAGCTATCCCACTCCTCAGTTTATACCCAAAGGACTTAAAATCAGCATACTACAGTGATGCAGCCACATTAATGTTCATACCAGATCAATTCACAATAGCTAAACTATGGAACCAACCCAGATGTTCTTCAACAGATGAATGAATAAAGAAAATGTGGTACATATATACAATGGAATATTACTCAGCCTTAAAGAAGAATGAAATTATGGCATTTTCAGGTAAATGGATGGAGCTAGAGAATATTATACTAAGGTAAATAAGCCACTCCCCCGAAAACAAAGGCCAAATATTTTCTCTGCTAAGCAGATGCTGATCCATAGTGGTGGTAGGGTAGGGTAGGGAAGAATGAAGGAATTTTGGATTGTGTGGGGGTGGGGGAGCAGTGCTGTGGGGATGGGAAAAAACCATAGAATGAGACAAACATTATTACCCTATACACATGTATGATTACCCTACTGGTGTGACTGTACTATGTACAGCCAGACTGTACTATGTTCAGCCAGAATGTGCTCCATTCACGTACAATGTGTCAAAATGCATTCTACTGTTATGTATAATAAATTAGCACAATTTTTTAAAAGTTTTATTAAAGAAGGTAATATTTGAATAAATCTGGGAAGAGGTGAAATAATGAGCTCTCTGGATGTCTTGAGGAAGAGCTTCCAAGTAAGGAATAAAGGTAAAGATGGATTTATGCTTAGACAGATAAAATAGCATATGTGTCTGGAATGGACTGAGTGAAAGGGAGTATGGGAGAAGATGAAGTCATAGAAGTAGCAAAGCTGGGTTCTCTAGGGCTTTGAAGGTTATGAATAGAATTTAGGTTTTACTCAGCATGAGAAAAGACATGCTGATTCAAGCATAATGGCTTATGCCTGTAATTTCAGTGGCTCAGAGGCTGAGGCAAGAGGACGGTATGTTCAAAACCAGCCTCAGCAACTTAGTGAGGCTCTACACAACTTAGAAGACCTGTCTCAAAATAAAAAATAAAAAGGGCTGGGGATGTGACTCAGTGGTTAAGCACCTTTGGATTCAATCCCTGGTACCAAAAGGAAAAAAAGAAAAGCCATGCTGAGGGATTGCTTTGGGGGGTACAGGGAGGAATACTGGGGATTTAACTCAGTACCACTGAACTACACCTTTTTTAAATATTTATTTTTGAGAAAGGTCATCACTAAGTTGCTGAAGGGGGCCTTGAACTTGGAATCCTCCTGCCTCAGCATCCCAGGTCGCTGTGATTATAGGCATATGCCACTATGCCCAACTCATGCTGAGGAATTTTAACTTGATGGAGCAGGCAGGGGTAGGAGTTATAGATTTGAGGGTACAGGAAAATAAAAGTGCGATAAGTATTTTAGGAACTCAATTCAACATGTAGGATGGATTGGAGACAGGAATCCAGAAAAATGATTCCAGTAGTTCAAGTATAAGATGAAAACTAACCAGAATAGACAGTAAGAATAAGAAATACATAAACAGAAAAGTGTCCAAGAAAGTAATAGGATTTACTGGTTTGGCATGTAATGAGTGTACTTGTGATGTAGCTTCAGAGCAGCTGACTTGAGATACAAACAGATGTCCTGTCAGGCAAATGAGGCCAGAGGAACTGATCCTAAAATGGCACCACAAGAGTTTCAGTGAAGGAAACTGTACAAATTAGTTTGGAACTGAAACTGCTTTTTAGTTTGAAATAAACAGAACAATTTTAAAAAATTTGTTTTTAGTTGTAAATAGACACAATGCCTTTATTTATTTTTATGTGGTGCTGAGGATCGAACCCAGTGCCTCACACATGCTAGGCGAGCTCTCTACCACTGAGCTTCAACTCCAGCCCAACAGAACAATTTTTTAACAATTTATTTATTATTATGTGGTGCTGAGGATTGAACCCAGTGCCTCACATGTGCAAGGCAAGTGCCCTACCACTGAGCCCCAGCCCCAGCCCCCAAACAGAACAATTTTTAAAAAATAATTAAAGAGCCAAAGATAAACCACCTGCCCCTTCCTGAAAAGTGAACCAAACTGGATCCTGTTTATTAGTTGACAATGCAACAGTCATAGCAAGCAAGCAAAGGGGCCCTGTTATGCCTAAGTCCACTTCCTCATACCAGCAAAATTTTTGTTTGTTTTATTTGCAGTCCTGGGGATTGAACCCAGGAACTTGTGCATGCTAGGCAAAAGATGTACCAATGAGCTACACCCCCCAGTCCTCTTTAAAACATTTTTTTTTGAGACAAGATCTTACTAAGTTGTTCAGGCTGGGCTCAAACTTTCAATCTTCCTGAGTAGTTGGGATTATTGTTTTTTTTTTTTGTATCAGCAAATTTCATTATGAATGCTTGCATCCCATCCCTCTTTTGAGTATAAACTCAAATGTAATGAATATCCTTTGCAGTGCTTGCCTCCTTACTGATAGTTCCTTTGTGTGTGGGGGGCGGGTACTGGGGATTGAATCCAAGCCCTTTTTAGTTTTTATTTTAAGACAGGGTCTCACTAAGTTGCACTGCCTATGATGGCCTCAAATTGTGATTCTCCTACCTCAGCTTCCAGAGTTGCTGGGTGTTTATAATCTTTAAACTAGGATTGAAGACTCTGCAAATAATTTATTTGGTACCAGGGATTGAACCCAAGGGCACTTAACCACTGAGCCACATCCCTAGCCCTTTAAAAAAAAAAAAATATATATATATATATATAGTTGTAGATGAACACAATGCTTTTACTTTATTTATGTGGTGCTGAGAATGGAACCCAGTGCCTCACATGTGCCAGTTGATTGCTCTACCACTGAACCACAACCCTAGCCCATCCGTAGCCCTTTTTATTCTTTATTTTGAGATAGGGTCTTACAAGGTTACTTAGAACTTTGTTAAATTGCTGAGGCTGGCCTGAAACTTAGGAACCTCTTCCCTCAGCTTCTTAAGTCACTGGGATTACAGGTGTGCACCAGCGCTGAAAATAATTTATAACAGACATATGAAGGGTTTCTGTTCTGGAAAGAAGTAGAATTTAAAAAAGATAGACTCGGGGCTGGGGATGTGGCTCAAGCGGTAGCGCGCTCGCCTGGCATGCGTGCAACCCGGGTTCGATCCTCAGCACCACATACCAACAACGATGTTGTGTCCGCCGAGAACTAAAAAAAAAATAAATATTAAAAAAAAATTCTAAAAAAAAATAGACTCTATGAATGACATTAATTAAGGGCAGGTGGAGTAGATATAGTTAATAGAAACAAAAAAATATCAGTAAGTTTAACAATTGGCAATAGCACTAATAATTTTCCAAGATATTTTAAGTGGTCATACTTTAAGAAGTCATATAGAAACAACCAACAATAAAAAAAGAAGTCATATAGATTTGATATTATGTGGGTTCCTAATTCTTAATATGAAAATTATATTTTTGTATGTTGTTCCATGTTAATTCTTAAACTTATTTTACTACTATTCCTCAGTATTTTAAAGCTGACTACAATGAAAATGTTACAAACATTTGAAAGACTTAATCATAGTTTGGGGGAATAATAGCCACAGGGAAACTTAGAACAAATTTTAGAGAAAGTATTGTTTACTTATTAGCAAACTACTTCTAATTATTTAACTGATTTAATCAATGAGGTTATTTTCTTTCAAAAATCTCTGAACACAAAGGTATTGCTTAAACAGAACAAAGTTCAAAGAAAGCCTGATTTAACCAAATCAAATCTCTGCCAAGGCCAACAAACCAAGATAAAAAAAATATATATATATATATATATATAAAGAGAATTAAACTGATGTAAGTTTGAGACCAGGCCTATGTATTTCTCTCTTTGAGGAGAAATAACCCTGGTTTTCTGTCTGATTTCATGAAAGTCCAATTGTTTTCTGAGGTCTATTTATTCTTTAAAACATTAAGAAGCTTGTGATTTTTTTTTTTTTTTTTGGTTCTGGGAATTGAACCTAGGGGTGCTTAACTACTGAACCACATCCCCAGCCCTTTTTTGTATTTCATTTAAAGACAAGGTCTCACTGAGTTGCTTAGGACCTCAAAAAGTTGCTAAGAGTGGCTTTGAACTTTGAATACTCCTGCCTCAGTCTCCCAAGCCACTGAGGTTACAGGCATGTGCCACCATGCCCCGCTGTGTATTTTCTTAAGTATTCTTGGATATGTGATTTGCGATTTTGTTACAGGAGTTCTAAGCTGAAAACAGTTTGGCCAAAAGCATTATCTTCATCCTAAAGAAGCCTTTACAGCTGGCTCATGGCGCATACCTGTAATCCCAGCAACTGGGAAAGCTGATGTAGGGGGATTGCAACTTGGAGCCTCGGCAATTTAGTGAGACCTTGTCTCAAAATTAGAATAAGGTCTGGGATGTGGCTGGGTGGTAAAATGCTCTTGGGTTAAATGCCCAGTACCAAAAATAGAAAGAAAGGAAGAAAAGCTTTATACCTGCACCTTGTAAAAGAGAAGTTTTAATTGTTGAATTCTATTCACAGCAAATACACTAAGGTGCTGAGATAAATGATAATTAAAACAGGGTTATGGTAAAAGTTCATATTTATTTATTTATTCTTATTGCTTGTTCTTCAGGACTGACACAGTGGTTTAGATCTTGCTCTTCTTCCAAGTAATGTAACATTTCATAGTAGACATTTGATATTAAATGAATTAGGTAAGATGTACTTCACCCTGAGGTTGTGAAACCTGTAGCATGACATTCTAATCAACAGTACAAATCTGTGAAGGATTTTGTCACCGGCTTAGAGCAAGAAAAACCTAAGTAGAGTGAAGGTAGCTAAGATCATTACTGAAGTCATTAATTATGTTGTCCAGTCACCCAGTTTCTACTTCCCTTTGGCCTCAAAAGTCAAAGTCTACTCTCAAAAACAAAACAAAAACCCCTACTTTCCCAGTAGGGAAGTTTGAATTCTTCACCTTACAGCGGATCCACAAACTCTTAAAGAGGAAATAAAACTGCCATTTAATGTAATGTTGGAGGATGGGGTGTATGGCTCAATAGAGTGCTCTCCTAGCTTGTGTATGGCCTGGGGTTAGATTCTCAGCACTAATTAAAAAAAAAAAAAAGTGCTGTTAATGAACTTCAATGTGACTACGCTGTGGATAATCGAGCTTAAAAATTAAAAGTACCTCTGAATCTCCAGTAAAAAAGCAAAGGCCTTCTTTACTTGATCACATTTTTAACATACATATTTAACTATCTCTTTAAAATAATTCCCTGGAATATGACAACAGAATGTGAAATAAAATAATGTGATGAATATTAACCGGTTCAGCTACTAGTGGTGGCATAATCCCAACAGAGGACGATGACGTTTGTAGTCTCAAGTAATCCTCAAAGACCCGGGAGAGGAACTGTTTGTCCCACTCCACGAAAGCAGCCACTGAAGTCTGCATTCATTGCTCCCGGATCCCCGCTCAGCCCGCGAGGTGACGTCCAAGACGCGGGGATTTCCGCAGCGGTGACACACGCCACTTCCGGCCGGCAGTCGGAGTCAGTGACGTGGCAGGCTAGTCCGGGCACCGTCCACGGGGCCGGGACGACGGGACAGTCAGGTGGCCTCGGGGCAGCCCCACGGGGAGAGGTGAGCGCTGGAGAAGCCGCGAGCCCGGAGCCGGAAGTGCCACGTGTCCTGATTGCGCCTGCGCGGCCAGCGGCTGACAGGCACTTCCGGCCGGGGCCTCCCTCCTCACCGGTTTAGGCTGCCGCCTCCCAGCCCGGCATTCGCGGCCCCACTGGCCCGACTTCTAAGCTTCAGTTCCCAGGCCAGGCCGTGGATGCCGGCGGGCTGGGGAGAGCGAAGCGCCATGCCTCGGGCTTGATGCTCCGCCCTCTCCTCCAGTCTTCAGTCCTAAGTCTTTGGCCCTCTCCCTCTGCTTTCAGCAGTCTCTCCGCTGGGCGCTGTTGTCGACTCAGACCAGTACCTTCCAACAAGGATAACTGCGGTCGTCATGTCCCAGCCGGGGATACCAGCCTCCGGCGGCTCCCCAACCGGCCTCCAGGCCCAGAACGGGGCCTCTTCGACCTCGGGGTCTCCCTACACCAACGGTGAGTGTTGCACGGGGGCGAAGAGCAGGGCTCAGCGTGGGCCCGGGCTGGAACTCACCTTTGGATGCTGTTTACTCTTCAGGCGACCGAGGAAGAGAGGATGACCTCTCGGCTGGGGTCTGGCGCCGGTGGTGGTGGGCGGCTGAGCCCCCGATACCGCGGCATTTGTGCACTCTCAGGCGCGGGCTCGTTTTAGCGTTTCACACACACACACATTCAGTCAGCAAACAGTTAAAGAGCACCCGCTGTATGCAACGTCCTGGCAAACAAGGGTGAAAAAAAAAAAAAAAACAGATTCCGTCAATCCCTCAATAAACGGTCCTAGTGGCTGTGCCTTCACCCTCCGCGCCACCTAGCTCCAGTCTCCAGGGGAGCAGAGTTTGGAATCTGATTCGTCTCGAGCAGGTTGGGGTCGAATTTATTCTGAGTTTGCGGACATGAATGAATGAGTGACTTCTTGCGGAGACCCCTTTAGGACCTACTCATCTCTCCCAGGACTTTCCCAGAACTGTGCCTGGGCCACCTGTTCAGTTTTTCAGCCTTGAAAGAACCAAGTAGATTTGTTGTTTGATTTCCTAAGGCCTTTACATCACTTGGAAAATGGTTGGACCTCTGAGAGGCATGTATATGTGGCACTGTAATTTGTAATTTGCGTGAGAATGTCTTAGTTTTATAACTCTTCTAGGATTCCTTGAATTGTCGTACGTGGTGATTTGCTAAACTTTTTTTTTTAATTGTTGTAATCGAGAAAGATTTTCTGCCAACAGTCTGCCTACTTACCAATTAACTTACACATCTTTGGTTTATGGAAATAAATACCAGTAGAATAATACTAAAGTGCTTAAATTGCACACTGGAATCTTAGATTACTGTGAAGTTGGAGAAAATAGCCAGTGACTAAAATGGCCAGTTTACATTGTTTTTAGAGAATTCTACTGTTTTCTTTACAAAGAAGGCTCTTTTTAGGACTTTAAAATATCTATGGGTAGGCAGCTATGTGGGCAGAAGCTAGAATAGGGAATAGGCACTGAAAATGCGTTAACTTGAATCACTTGTTCTTTCTCAAGTTTATAGTAACAGATTATGTAAAGTATATTCTATTCGGGGCTGGGGATGTGGCTCAAGCGGTAGCGCGCTCGCCTGGTATGCGTGAGACCCGGGTTCGATCCTCAGCACCACATACCAACAAAGATGTTGTGTC